AAAAAAAAAAAAAAAAAAAAAAAAAAAAGACGGCTATTACAATTATAACTTGGGGAATGCGTAACCACACTTAATAACCACATAAAAAAAGACACTATGAAGAAACACATCTGACTGGTCACCAGTAGCACAGGTCATTATTCCTTAGGAGCTGGTCCACCATGTCCTCCACTGGGCAAAGCTGGGCACTGCTCTGTAAATGAGGGAAGTGTCTCTCATATCACCAAGTACTACTCAATAACCATATCACATACCTCTAATACTACATATAAATTCAATTCTCTCACTCTCCTGTATAAACACAGAACCCCATCTCTCTATCATAGACACACATACTACATTCCCAGAATACATAACCCTAATAACCACTTACTAAAAAATACAAACACAGCCCCGCAAAACATTCATCCAAACTGCAATGCCCTTGAACACACAAACTCAATACCCATGTAATTCTCTGCACACCCTAAATATACCCATGATTAACTAACACCACAAATATGCAAACATGCCACTTCATATCCCCAAATACACATACAGTCCCACAATACCTGCACATATATAATCACACTTCCAAATACTCACACAAATATAACTCCTCCATCTTCCAAGAAAATCATACAAACTCCACCTCATGACTGCACACATTCATCCTACCAGTCCCCCAAAAGTCATGGATCTGCCCTTATACATTGAAATAGCCATACACAACCCCTGGCTATTTGTCCTGGTATAACTGTTTTTCCCTTAAATCATGCTCTGCACTGTGTCTGCTCCAGACATTCCTCTGACTATAAGCTGCCTATTCCTTAATTCATGCTCTGTACTGTATCTGCTCTAGGCATTCCTCCAATTATGAACTAAGATATATATATATATGGAAATAACTGAGTAGTAACACTATAAACTGAGATATTCTTCAGGTCTTAATTTTGCCAGGATTCTGCTTAGCTCTCCTTCCTTGGTACCTATATGCGGGGTTACCCACACACATTCCCACAGGAGCCACGGCAAAGCTCAGAGGGGCAAAGGGAGGCCACTGTCCCCACACCCCATGCCTCCCTTCAAGAGAGGAATGTGCTCCTCCAACAGGACAGTTCCCAAGGGCATATGTTGGGTACTGACCAGGTAAACACCCAATTCATGGGCGGCCCATGGTCACCAAGGAGGGTATTGACCTGGTGAGGTTTCCTAGCTACTCTCCCCTCGCTTGTCCAAAACTTAACATACAATCTGCCCAGGAACAGGGATGAGCGGGTAGAGTACATGGCATATCTGTGGCTCCAAACTTCCTCCAAAACGATGCTGTCTCAGATGTGCCCCTCCTGCGGCGTCTCCTCTGGGGCACTGTGGTTCAGGTGGTCCTGACCCAGCTGGGACCCACTTCATGTCCCCGAGCCCTGCCCTCTCCTGTGTGGTGCAGGCAGGAGGAGCAGCCCTCACCACGCCCATCCTCCTGCCTCAGTGTACCTTCCCAGCAAGGCCTGCCCCAAGGCCCCGCCTGCCTCCCTGCAGCCACCCAGGCCCCAGTGGCCAGCAGAGACCAAGGCCCCCGAAGAGTTCCCCCCTGAAGTGGTGCAGGGTCTGTCAGTCTTTCCCAGACCCTCAAGTTCTGAAAGCACTCTAACTGCAGGCCAGAGCCCCCTTCTCATGGCTGGGATCCTGTTCCCCAGTCCTGCTCAATTACTCTGTGCAGCAGGCACTTCTGTCTCTGTCTCCACTGGAAGTCGAACCTCCCACCACCATGCCCCAGGAGCGCTGTTCCTCTACTTCAGAGAAGCCCCTGCTCCCTGGCACTGTGGAGACCAGGTGTAGTCTCAGCTGCTCTGAAGGCCTGGCTGCTTCCAGTGCAGAAGCAGTGTGAGTGCAGACTGACCCCGCTCCCTCCCAGCTGGTGAACCCAGCTCCCTCAGCACCCCTAGTGACTCCCGTCCCTGCTTTCCTCCCAGGAGCCCACAGTTGAGATTCTCTCTGTGAGGACCCGGGTCCCTGTACTGGGAGTCAGACAAGGAACCCCATGGGAAGGGCAGGCGCTGAGGAGCAGGAGGCGCCTGGGAGGGCCATGTGGACTGGACGAGGAGCTGATGACTCTTTTATTGGGATTGGTTTTGTGCTGCCAAGCTTGGCTTGGGGAGTGGCAGTTGACAGAAAAGCCAGGATTAGGAAGTATTCAGAGGCGGGCTGGCGAGAGGGAGGGTCCAGTGGGGACACCCCGGCCTGAGCAGAGAGAAGGCGTCGAGGGGTTCTGTGGTCATCATAGGGTCTGCCATGGGGCCCTGAGGGTAAGTGGCATCAGGAGCCAGGTCTGTGGAGGCACAAGGGCTGTGCAGGGCCCAGGCAGGCCAGCAGCCTTCAGAGGTTTGGGTGGAGCGCGGGTGTGAGGAGCCAGGGCAGGGTTGGGAAGAGGAGTGAGCCTCATGATTTCGTCGATCCAGTTGGTGAAGTAGCTGACCCTGGTGAAGATGCTGGGGTAGGCTGGATGCCGGCAGTCCAGGCCCCAGCTGGCCAGCCCCACCAGGACCCAGGCACTGGGGAAGTGGCAGACTAGAGGACCCCCAGAATCACCCTGAGGACAGAGAGAGAGGAGTTAGCTTTGGGGGGTGAGTGGGGCTGAAACACCAGGCGGCAAGGTTGGGCACTCTGTGCCTCCGCTGTCTGAGTCAGGGTCCCACTGCAGACCCACTAGATAGAAATCTCCAGGTGTCAAGCTCCTGAGCTGACCCTCGGAGTGGACAATCGTGGATCTGAATCTATCAACACACGGACCCACCCTCTGCCCCCTACACCCGGGACAACACACTGCTTGAAGCCTAGAGGGGACAGCTGTAAGTAAGGGCTGAGAGGGGCTGGGCCTGCCAGCGAACCTCCACCAGCTGCAACCTCTGCGCGGAGCCCAGCTCTTGCAAACCCTAAGCTGCAACAGAGCATCACTTCCAGGGTGCTTCGCTGTTCTGTTCATTTGGGCCTTTGGTTTTCTCTTAACTTTTTGGTAAAGTATCTTTAGAGAGTGCCCATGCCCAGGGCTTGTGGAGACAGTCCACATCACTAGGGAAGCAGGCAGGGTCTCCAGAAAGTTGTTGGGAGGTACTGAAGTCCTGAAATGCTGTCAGGGTGGGATCACGCAGTTGAAAGTCCCCTATATCACAAGCCAAAAAGTGAGACCCAAAGAAAGGGTTTCATCTCCAGGGTGGCGGGCAGCAGGGCCCAGAGCCGGCTCTTCCACCCACCAGTCCAGTGTGCATGTGAGGCAGCCGGTGCAGGCACTGCTCTTGGGAAAGGGGGAGAAGACAAACCTCCTCCCACATGGTGCTTAGATAAATCAGCCAACCGACCCTATGGAAGCAAGGAGGACATTTCATATCCTTTGGTCACAAAATGGTTTCCTGAGCTGACACTGAAAATAGGAAACAGAACCCACCTCTGCAAGGTCCAGAAGAGAGGGCCCAGTTGGTGCAAACCAGGAGAGGAGGGGGCAAGCCTCGTGGTAGGGAGCGTGCGGGGAGAGGGAGATCTTTTCTTTTCTTTTCTTTTCTTTTTTGAGATGGAATCTCACACCGTCACCCAGGTTGGAGTGCAGTGGCACGATCTCGGCTCACTGCAACCTCCACCTCCAGGGTTCAAGTGATTCTCCTGCCTCAGCCTCCTGAGTAGCTGGGATTACAGGCGCCTGCCACCACACCTGGCTAATTTTCATATATATATATATATATTTTTTAAGATGGGGTTTCACCATGATGGACAGGCTGGTCTTGAACTCCTGACCTCAGGTGATCCACCCACGTTGGCCTACAACTTGAAAACTACTCAAATACTTATCCAGTGTAGAATTGACAGCAGAATTCAGTTCACACAATAGCACGCTATAGCGCAATGGGAAGGAACACACTGACAACGTGTAATAGTATGGACGAATCTCAGAGATATACCATTAGGACACAAAAGAGTGCTGGCTGTAAATTCCATTTACACAAAGTTCAGAAGCTAAGGTGTTAAAAGCGAAGGTCTTGGTTACCCTTGGGCATTAGTGATAAGAAGGAAGTACATGGGTGCTTCTGGGGTGCTGGTAACATGTTGTGTTGGTGTGGGAAAGCTAATCAAACTATATACTTATTAATTATGTATTCTTGTGTATATATATTATGCTTCAATAAAAAGTTTAAAATGTACCCCAAAAAAAAGGATGCTGTTTGAGGATCCTTCCAACAGACGTTCCTGCTGGAATGGGCTGGGGAAGGGGCTAGTCTAGGGGAGATTTCTGAGGGATGGAGCCCAGGAGGACACGCAGAGGAGAGGAAGAGAGAAGTCCGGGGGACTCCACAAAGAGAGCAGAGGCAACACAGAGACCCCTCCCAGGGGAAACTGAGGCCAAGAGAATATGCAAAGGAAGAGTGGACATGACCTTACTCACTTTGCAGATGGACTTTCCTGTCGAGAAGTCCCCCACACACAGCATCTCCTCATGCACGGCGTAGGTCTTGCCTTTGCCAGTTCTTTGCCCATATAAGGTATTACAGAGTGTGTTCTCAATGAAGCCCACCTTGCCCTCCTGGAGATAGAAGGGTGGTGACAGTTGCACTGCAGAGGTAACGGGGAGGTCAGTGGCATGTCCTGTAGGTTGACTAAGAAGCTCAGGCTACTCTCAGCCCCTACTCTGCCTGACTGCTAATCACAACCCCCCAAACACAGGGTTTCTCAGAGCTGCTGAGCTTTAGACACTGCTTCACTTGCTAACCATCTTTGATAAGTGCCTCTCCTTTTTCTCAAACCTTTGCACATAGTCATCCTATTCCCTCTACCTCTCTCATTGCAATAGATCACACCTCTCATACTCTACAAGAGGCAAATCCCACCAACACATGACTCATTCATCGGGACTTAGAAACTATTCAGTGACCAACCTACTCTTTCATGAACTGTCCCATCCGTTCTCCATCCATCTATCCCTAACCTTTCTTCTCCACCCATCCTTCCATCCACTCACTCACCCATTCCTCCATCTACTTATCTTCCCACACATCCCCATTCATCTCACTTTCCACACATTTGCCCATCTAGCCAAACTTTCATCCATCTCTCCATTGAGTCCTCCATCACTCACTCACCTATCCTCCTCTCCATCTACTGATACATCCACCCACTCTATCCATCCACCCACCCACTCACCAATCCTTCTATCTACACATCCATCCAAACATCCATCTACCAACTCAAATACCAACCATCCATCCACCCATCCATCCATCCATCCAACCATCCATCCATCCATCTATCCAACCATCCATCAGTTTACCCATCCATCCACTTATCCTTCCATCCGTGCAGTCACCCATCCTCCAATCCACACATCCATTAATTCATCCATGCAGCCACCCATCCTTTTATCCATCAGTTCATCATCCATTTATCCATCCATACATCCATCCATTTGCTAACCCAATCACTGATCTATTCAATTAGCTATTCGTCTATCCTGGTGCCAAGTGTCTTTTCTATGCTTAATGATATAGATGATTTTTAGTAGGAAGTGACAGATTAAGTGAAATAATAAATAAAAATATTTGGCCAGGCGTGGTGGCTCATGTCTGTAATCCAAGCACTTTGGAGGCCAAGACGGGTGGATCACCTGAGGTCAGGAGTTCAAAGACCAGCCTGATCAACATGGTGAAACCCTGTCTTAAAACGATAAATAAATAAAAAATAAATAAAAATGAAAATATTTTAGATTAAGTGATATGAAGAAAATAAAACAGGGAGATGTGATAGCAGGGGTTGCCTATTTTAGCCCACATGATTGAGTAATACTTGCAGAGAAAAAGCTGAATAGTAAATGTAAAGAAGTGACTCATGTAAAGATTAGATTGACAAGCAAGCTAAAAAGAAAACAAAAACACAGCAGCTAAAGGCCCCTTTAGAAATGACGTTGAGGTATACAAGGAGTACCCAGGAGGCCCAAGAGGATGTGGTGGGGTAAGTGAAGGTTGCAGTAAAAGATGGGGTATGTCATGGATGCAGTGAAAGTTGGAGAATAGGCCAGGCATGGTGGCTCACGCTTGTAATCCAAGCATTTTGGGGGCCAAGGCGGGCAGACCACCTGAGGTCAGGAGTTCAAGACCAGCCTGACCAACATGGTGAAACTCCGTCTTTAAAAAAAAAAAAAGAAAGTTGGAGAATAGAAAGGGTGCAGTGGAGAATGGGGGTTGTGAAGGGTGCAGTGGGGGGTGGGGGCTGTGAAGGGTGCAGTGTGGGGTGGAGGATGTGAAAGGTGCAGTG